TATGTAGAGCGACCTTCTCAACCTAATTGAGAGAGTGTTCCGTGGTCTAGAACTATTTGAACCAGTTAATGGAAATCCTTATGGAACTTTCATATATATTTTCGTATCTAGATCTCCATAGAGATACACAAGGGTTTGCTATGCTTTAGGGTCAAAGCAGATGATTGGCTAGCCGCCAATGTACCATGCCGCGTGGAAGGTGCGGCTTCCCCACCTTTGAGGACATTCCGGCCTTCCCAGGCAGGTTGTGGACGTACGAAGGGTACATCGATCCTTGCATGTGCATTTGCAGCGGGTATATGTGATATTGTCACTTTAGCTAGATCATTAAAAGCAGATAGCATGCTCTGAAGATCTATAATTCGTCACATCTTAGTTTCAGACTGGGCAGTGCGGGGATCTAAATGAGACATAGTAGGAGCATACCATGACAATTCGCGGTGTTCTACATGAGCGTTAGCATGCTTATCTCCCCCTAATGATGGGAAGAATGTCTCATCAAAGTGACAATCCACAAAACGTGCGGCAAAGAGATCTCGTGTGAAAGGTTCTAAATAGCAATTAATTGATGGCGAATCATAACCGACATAGATTCCTATTTTTCTCCGATGACCCATTTTGGTACGTAGCGACGGTGCTATTGACACATAAATGGTGCACCTAAACACTCGTAAATGCGAGACGGTAGACTCGTATCCGGTGACCAACTGTAACGGTGAATGTGGTTGGGTAGCAGTGGGTCTCAGGCGGACTAACACAGTTGCGTGCAATATTGCATAGCCCCAGACAGATACCGGCAGTTTAGTTCTCATAACCAAAGTCCAAGTTATCAATTGAAGATGCTTTATGAAAGCTTTTGCCAAGCCGTTTTGGGTGTGAACGTGGGGTACATGATGTTCCACATCAATCCCTACTGATATGCAATAATCGTTAAAAGTATGTGCCGTAAAGTCTTCAATGTTATCCAGTCGAATCGACTTAATCGGATAAACAGGGTGGTAAGCCCTTAGCTTAATAATTTGAGCTAGGGGTTTAACAAACGCAGCGTTGCGAGTGGATAATAGGCAAACATGTGACCATCGTGTCTATGCATTAACCAACACCATAAAATATTTAAATGTCCCGCAGGTTGGTTGGATAGGTCCACAAATATCCCTTTGAATCCTCTGAAGAAATTTAGTGGGGTTATGAATAATCTTTGTAATCGAGGGTTGAGTATTCAACTTTCCTAAAGAACACGCTTTGCATGGCGAGAATCCAACATAGAGAGGTAACTAATGCTCATGTGATGATTTGAGGATACGGTGCATCATGTCACATCCAAGATGTCTCAAACAGTCATGCCAAAGAAGCAAAGTGTTATAGAACTCAGGCATAGGGCTGGCCACATGATGTACAACCCACTCGGGAGACATTCCAACTTCTCGTGAATACGTTTCTGGCCATATTCGTACAAAGTGATACAAAGAAATTCAAAATCTTCAGTGGTTTCACTATGATATTGATTATCTCGAATATCTCTAAAACTCAGCAACGTTCTTTCGAAACATGGAGAATAGAGTGCCTCTTTAATGGTTAAGACTGTACCATTCGACAACATGATACGTGTCTTTTCGTATCCTTCAATCAAGTTGGATGGGCCTGAAAGAGTTGTCAGAGGTGCTTTCTTGAGTATTAAGTTAGTAAAATAGTGTTGCTCACACAAGATGGTGTGCATGATAGCACGATCAGCCAGACAACTAACTTCCCCACTAAACATACCTAGAAATAAATTGATTGAATTAGTCACATGCATAAATATAAGTCCATTCATTCAATTAAGCAATTCGAGAAATAATATCCATGAAATAACAATCCATAATTCAAAACAAACCAAAACCAAACAAATTATTCCAAATACTTAGAAAAATTGTTCAAAATTAAACCATAAACATAGAAAAATAGGGGAGAGGGGCTGACCACTCCTAGTAAGTTAGGCCACTAGGGGTAAACACCCTAAAAACATGTCTAATTTATTCATCCATAGGAGTTGACGCCTCCTGAAAATCCGATATCTCCATTGATGTAGGATGTTCCACATGTGCAAACTTAGACTAACGACGGGAATGATACTTGGCAATAGCCTCAGAGTTAGCTCGGCATACGCATGACCAATGATCCTTTGATCCACAATGGTAGCACATGTCAATTTCAGTAGAAGCTAACTGAACGTGAGTTTTTGCCTTTATTCTTGAAGTTCGGGGCCTTAAGGGTAAGAGGTGGATGTTGTTGGGTCACATTTCTACCCTTGGGGCTAGCATTATGTTGACCTTGGGCCCGTGGTTGGGTTTGCCGCCATTTCCACAGCCACAATGATTCTTTCATCGTTTGTTGTTGCTAGAATTGGTCGCATGCACTTTAGGCGCGGCGTTTGAGCCAATTGGTTTAGCTTGATGATTCTTTATCAAAAGTTGGTTCTGCTTTTCAGCGAAAAGAAGTACAAAGATCAAATCCTAAAATTTGGTGAACTTCTATGCCCTATATTATTGCTGCAAAACAATATTAGTGGCATGGAAGGCCGAATAGGTCTTCTCTAGGAGATCTAATTCAGTTAGTTCCACTTTACAGAACTTCAGCAGTGATCGAATTTTACAAACTTCAAAGTTGTATTCATTCATAGACTTAAAGTCTTAGAAGCGAAGATGCTGCCAGTCGTGTCTTGCTTCAGGCAAGTATATGTCTTTCTGGTGATCGAAATAGTCAGCCATAGCAAGCTAGAGGGTGCATGGGTCCTCCTCAGCAAGGTACTCGGTCTGCAGAGCATCATGGATGTGTTTTCGAATGAAGATCATTGTAGTAACTTTCTGAGCTTTGTCAACAGGTTTGTCGTCGGTAGGTGCTTTAATGGTGGCTCTAATACCTATTGTAGTGAGATGGAACTTCACGTCTTGAACCCATTTAAGATAGTTTCTTCCAGAGTGTTGAAATCGAGCTTGTTTAAGTTCGACATGTCCCTAAAACAGAGGGAAAAAACATGATTAGTCATATGGTGATCTATAGACATATATCGTAGAACATTCAGGTTCTATAGACAAGTATTGGTTTAATTTATGCATGAAAACTACAGGTTTCATATGGTAAGTTTTGAATCAAACTTCGGGTTTCAAAGGCACTAAACATGAAACTACAAGTTCAATTTAGTTTTATGAATGATTAGTTTATAAAGTAGAGGTTATTGCAATAAACACAGATGCAATATATTGATTAAAGTGGAGTGGATTTGAGTTTCTTTGGGAACTCAAGTGTGAGAGCTTCGTTACCATGAAAGAATGTCAACGGTTCAAAGTATACAAATCAATTATTGAATCATTAATGTCCAAAAGTGATCTTCAGGTCAATAATTTTGGATTCATTATCAGATTAATGGACTGCAGGTCACTTTTAATGAATTCAATCGGGACCAAACAGGGTTGATCGTGGAAGCAAAATAATGCTAAAATAATAGCATTGGGTCGAAAAAACATAGCTCAAAAAGATTTGGGCTTGGGGTAGCTGCAAAAGGCAGCCCACGAGTGGCTGCAGGCCACGAGCTCAGGGGACTAGGCAAGCCCAACAAACAAGACTGCTGGTATTAGGCCAAAGGGGCGCACGAGGACAAGCCCAGTCGAAGTGGGCTTGTGGATTAGCACATGGAAGGCCCAACCAAAGCTGGAGCCTAGTCTTTGGGTCGGGAACCCAGCCTACTAGGCTGGTTGTTTGGTTGTGGGCCGAGGTAAGATCAAAGCCTAGCAAGCGCAAAGGCTTGCTGGCAAGTCGGGCCAAACTGTAGGTGGGCTCAGGCAAGAACAGTAAGCCTAAAGGCTGCTGCGGCAGTCCATGCAACTGGGCTTCGGGCCAGCGACGGTGCATGGTGTTGTCGACGGTAGTGCCGCACCATGCCCAATTTTCTTTCCCTTTCTTTTTCGAAATCCCTAGGGTTTGAAAAACCCTAAATTGCTTCTAATTTATTTATATGCTTTAACTCACAAATTCCACATAGCAATTTAATTGCGTAATGCATGAAACAAATATATATATTGACAAATATATGAACATATACAATATATATATATATATATATATATATATATATCGTAAGGAAAATATAGACATAGAGGGGTTCATGCATCATGGGGAATGTCTTAATGCTTCGTGGACATTTCAAATATCTTCATTTATTTTAAGCGTACCTGATTGGCAGAAAACAAAGAAGAGCCTTTGAGTTTTGTGCAACATAGCCTCCTCCAACAATTTGTCAATTCCTCATCTTCTGGTAAGAGTGTGCTGATAACGTGTTATAGGCTTATTTGATTGAACTATTCTAAGGGATTAGAGAGAGAAGGCCGGCGGTATTGAGGGAGAAGAGGGAGTGAATTAATTGTGAGGTGTGTTTGTATCATCTCATTGTGCCTTTATTTATAGTAGAATAATAGGCAAAAACCTTACCCTTTAGGATTACAACTCTTAACAGGTAATCAACTCCTAATAGGAATATGAGATATATTCCTATATTTATTATGATTTACACAATCACAATCCGATTCTAAATATGACTGCAACAATTTGTGGATAAATTCATCCTTTTTATGTAGTTGAAAGATATAGGAATAATCTCGGTTTTTGTAATCGGATGCTAATTTCACCCACATTAACACCCAAATAACGATCTAAACAATTATTAGTTACCAGAAAACTATCCTAAAATGTTGAGTTCCATGGCATATTTTCTAATAATATCATCACATTCTGTTCCACGCATTGCTGCTCGTGCGGTAATGTGACCAGTCCAACACGGTCAAAAGTCAAAGAGTTTCACGCGCGTGCCCTACGTATACGCCGGCTTTTGCATGCTGCCGATTAATCGGCCAAAATGCTTTCCTGGAAATTTCTACTCGGACCACTCACTCTCTTCTCTTTTACCTCTCACTTTCCTCCCCAGGTAGATCTTCAGTTCGAATGCAGTCCACATAAAATCCCCTTACGCAATTCCATACCCTCCCCAACCCAAAATTCTCCACCCCCCCCCTCTCTCTCTCTCTACTTTCTCTCTCTACACACCCAACCAATCCCATCCCCAAAACGCTGCGTATCACATGACGGACTACCGGATACCGCCGACGACGAATCTGTGGACGGACGACAACGCGTCCTTGATGGAGGCGTTTATGAGCTCATCGGATCTGACGTCGTTTTGGGCGGCTCCGCCGGCCCAGCCCACGCCTCAACCTGCTCACGCCCCGGTTCAGCCGCAATCCTCGGCCTCCACTTCTGACTACCCCAAGCCCCCTGTCGCCGCCCAATTCCAGCCCTCCGTCACGCCCTTCAACCAGGAGACGCTCATGCAGCGCCTCCAGGCCCTGATCGAAGGCGCGCGCGAGAGCTGGACCTACGCCATCTTCTGGCAGTCCTCCTACGACTACTCCGGCTCCGCCGTTCTCGGATGGGGGGAAGGATTTTACAAAGACGAGAGGGACAAGGTTAAGGCCAAGGCCAAAACGACGACATCCGCCGCCGAACAAGAGTACCGCAAGAAAGTCCTCCGAGACCTCAACTCCTTGATTTCCGGCGCCGACACGTCAGCAGACGACGCCGTCGTGGATCAAGAAGTGACTGATACTGAGTGGTTCTTTCTCCTTTCCATGACTCAGTCGTTCGTCAACGGTGGCGGGCTTCCGGGTCAGGCCTCTTTTCACTCCACCCCGGTCTGGGTTGCTGGACCGGACCGGCTGGCGGTTTCTCCGTGCGAGCGGGCGCGACAGGGCCAGCTGTTCGGGCTGCAGACTATGGTTTGCGTTCCGACGGCGAATGGGGTTGTGGAGTTGGGATCGACCGAGTTCATCTACCAGAGCTCCGATCTGATGAATAAGGTCAGGGTTCTGTTTGATTTCAACAATTTGGAGGTCGGTTCTTGCCCTATGAGCGGCGGCGCCACCGCCGATCAGGGCGAGAACGACCCTTCGTCGCTCTGGCTCAACGATCCGTCGACCACCACCATGGAAGTGAAGGACCCGGTGAATACTTCGGCAACCACCAACATCAGCAACCAGCTAATTTCAAAGCCGGTGCAGTTCGACAACCACCCGAGCCCGATTCAAGTACCACAATTGCAGCAGCAAGTACAACAACAGCAGCAGCAGCAGACGCAGAGCTTCTTCACCATGGAGCTCAATTTCTCCGATTACGACGGGAGCAGCGTGAAGAATTCCAATTCCAATACGCATTCGTTGAAGCCCGAATCAGGCGAGATTTTGAATTTCGGGGAGAGCAAGAGGAGCTCTTACAGCGCCAATGGGAAATTGTTCTCGGGGCATTCCCAAATTACCGCAGCCGAGGATAACAACAGCAAGAAGAAGAGTTCTCCGCCATCGCGGGGTAGCAACGACGAGGGGATATTGTCCTTTAGTTCGGGAGTGATTTTGCCGTCCAGCTGTGTGGTCAAATCGAGCGGCGGTGCCGATTCAGATCACTCGGACCTCGAAGCGTCGGTGGTTCGGGAGGCGGATAGTAGCCGAGTTGTTGACCCGGAAAAACGACCTAGAAAACGGGGTCGGAAACCGGCGAATGGGAGAGAAGAGCCGCTGAATCACGTGGAAGCAGAGCGGCAAAGAAGAGAGAAGCTTAACCAGAGATTCTACGCCCTCCGAGCAGTAGTCCCAAACGTTTCGAAAATGGACAAAGCGTCGCTGCTCGGAGATGCCATATCTTACATCAACGAGCTCAAGTTGAAGCTGCAGACGGTGGAGACGGATAAGGAGGAGTTACAGAAGCAATTGGAGTCGATGAACAATCACTTGCCCTGCAAAGATTCGAGGTCTTCGGGTTCAATTATGTCAGAGGAGGAACTGAAAGGGTGTAGTAGTAAATTGTTAGACATGGACATTGATGTGAAGATAATCGGGCGGGACGCCATGATTCGAATTCAGTGTTGTAAGAAGAACCACCCGGCCGCGAGGTTAATGGCGGCTCTCAAGGAGCTCGACATGGATGTACACCATGCCAGCGTTTCTGTAGTCAACGATTTGATGATCCAACAAGCCACTGTGAAAATGGGTAGCCGAATTTATACGCAGGATCATCTCAGGTTAGCTCTACATTCGAAAGTCGGGGAAAACCGCCAGACTTGACAATCCATCCAGAAACATTCCAATCCGATCCAATCCGATCCAATCCAATCCAGTTGGTGGGTTAGGGCTTCGGGACATTTTAAGGCTCCCAGCAATGCATAGAGCCCTGCTCTGTAGTCTGTAATATAGTTATTCTACGTCGTTGTCTTCGGGTAGATTTTGTTTTTTGGTATTTTGTTCAAGTATAGAAATTGATTTTAAGGTTACTTGGATTCGAGGATATGAAACCACTCGAACAATTTTTCTGTGTTTCTTTCCTGTGTGTGTATAAATTGAAAGGTCTCAAGTATGTATTATTCACGGAATGCAGCAAAGCATTGTATTTCAGAACGGAGACTGCCTGAGAGGTGTTTTTGGTTTTTAGAAAACTAATGGAAATAGTTTGAAAATTTCGAGTTTTAACCTCCAAACTTTCTATATTTAGAAGAAAAAAAAATACAGGAGTGTAGAATGAAATTTTTGGAATGCCAATAACACATATCTTAATCAAAATAACAAAAAAGTGTTGTAAATGAATAATACCAGAAGTGATTTTTTAGAGTAAAAATATCATTTTCGTTAAAATTGAATAGTACCAAGAATGTTTTGCTAAAACTTTTTTTTTTTTTTTTTTTCCTGCACAAGTGCTGCTACTTGTTCAAGTTGTTTTCGTTTTCCTTTCGGAATTCAATCGATATTCTAAACTAATCTAAATTTGACGGAGGGAGTTGGAGACTATAGCCAACTTGGTTGTGGTTCAACTCTTGTGTGCCGAGCAGTTCACAGATTTTAGTTTGAATTTTGAAAATTATTATTTTTGGTGCAAGCATTTGTTTTTGGCATGTCGTTTAGTCCAATAAATTCAGCATATAGTTACATTTTGAACTTTCTTTTCTCTTAAAAAAGAGACTATTACGAATTTCATCCTATATGTGGTTACAGTCAAGTAAACTCACCAGCTCGAAGCATCGAATCCGAAATCTCTCACATTTTTTTGTTTATTGGGTTTGAATCTCTCACCTTGTTCCCTTACTACTGAACCACTTATTCCGGTTATATTTTGAACTTTGAAGGGTTGAATTGTTAGCCCCAAATGGGTTTGAATCTATATTTCTTATTGCTGAAAATGCACCGACACTTGTGGATTAAAAAGGATCTGCCACTGCCATGGTGGGATATTCCCCCTGCCCTTACCTTATTTGAAGGGTTTATGAATCAAATATTCAAGTTCAATCACAATGTAACCCTTGATGCCTTTGCATCCCTCAAAATTTCAAGTACCTAAAAAACACAAAAACAAAAAAATGATTAAAAAAAAATGTGGTCTTGCTGTCTATATCACCAAAGTTTGAAGGGGTGCATTCAATTGAGGTTTTGATGGAGTTTATAAGAAGGGTAGTGTTATTGACACATCTCTTTTTACCTTTCACACACCTATGTTGATTTTTGTTGACTGACCGTCTTCAATTCAGTCGATTCGACGATGGGAAATTGAGAGTAATGTATGAGAAGTAAAAATGAGTATCTGGATAGCGCAATTTAGAAACAAGCAACCACAGTTTAGAAAACTCACAACTCTGTCACTTAAAACTAACCACTTGCATTATTGTTTTTGGTGGATTTATTTTGTACTTGTATGTGTCAAGTCTAAAGTTTAACTCATATCGATGATGAGGACAATTTAATAATGGTATTGAGTTCGATCCTTAGTTATGAACTTAATATTGCCGTGCAATACCTCTAGGCCTTTCACGGTAGTTTAAGTGAGTGTGATTCTTATATATAGGAATAAGACAACTTGAGTTTGATACGTATAACAATACTGCTAAATTCGTCTGAGTTTAATAACTATAAGAACCATACTATAAAGTCTACTCTTACGCGTTTGGCTTTCCTTGTCAAAAATTGTAATTGAACTCTCACAAGCTTAATCTAGCTTTAGAATATGCTCAAATTATGGGTTATTGCTGCTGGAGGAAATGTTCATGAAGTGGGTCATCTCACCTCAAAAGGTTTGCTCATGCATGTGCATTTCATATCTCTATTTGTGTTGCATTCTGTCTAGTTTGATTGTTTAGTCAGTTTTGTGCACTAACTACCAGCTGTCTAGGCACACTGATTAAGACAGCCCATATGGACTGACTGACACCTTTCTGATGGTAGTCATTTCTGGCCATTGATCTGCCTAGAACTCTTTTGCAGTCGACCTTGGGACAAGTTGGCTGATGGAAAATCTGATTTCCTTCGGTATATGTACTTCTAGCATTTCAGATTTGTTCTTGGGGGGTTTAGAACTTAGTTTTAGAGAAAGAGTTGCTTAAAGGCTTTGAAGCTTGCATCTTCTACATTTATGAACCTTAACTACCAAACCTTCCTCATGTATTAAACACCAAATCATTGTATATTGGTGTTGCATTGTTTTTAAGGTTTTAGACCAAGTTGGATTCAAGTTAGATTCTTCCTTAAACAGTTTGACTGGTCATTTGAATCCATATTTCATGTGCACATCATAAAATCATATCATATCATTGATTGTACTGATCTCGGTGCCACAAGGTGATGAGCTCAGGAGGAGCTATCATTTCGTGAAAACCGAAAGATTCCATCTCGTGTAAGGCAAGGTTGCACAAAGGTAAAGCTGCTCCTTAGATATGGATCTAGGAATTGAGCTTGTATGGTCCTTGTATGAACCTTTGTTTACACTAGTAGATTGGACTCAATGGAGAGTCCTCGGTTTTTTAACCCAGAGGTGGATTTTTCCAGCAAAAAATATCTTGTGTTCAAGTTACGTTTATTGAGTTCAAGTTATGTTTATTGTGTCACACATCCCACACACACATACATGGTATATTTGTTGAACATCTAAATGGTATGTGTTCTCTGTTATGCTCACCTAACACATTGATAACTTGCAACGACCTACAACCTTGCTGGCTATGATATTTTTTAAAAACTGGAATTGGTATTTGAATCTTAGACTTATTGACTAACAAATCTATTTTAGTTGACTAGCGGGCTTGACTAGTCAGTCCAACGAATTATAATTTTTATATACAGGTTATTCCATTTGGTACCAATTTCAATTGGTATCAGAGCCATGCTCTAGATATACATAGAGTGATCTCTGGATTTACTGGTATTGGGTGGAATCTCACCATGGACCGTGATTGTGTCTGTAGCTCATGTAATACACCTCCATTCTTTGATGGTACAACTTATGCTGCTTGGAACGAGAAGTTTCAAAATCTTTCTTGAGGCACAAGATCTTATTGCGATTGATTATCTCATTCTTGAGTGGAAGGCTCCATCGAGGCTAGTCAATGGAGAGTCAGTGATTAAACCAAAAGGTGAATGGACTCAAGGAGAAATTGGTTCGGCTATGGAAAATAGGAAAACAAAAAATGCAATTGTTTCTGCCATGTATGATATTGCACTACTATGAAGCAAGCTTGGGACAAACTTCGAATTCTTCATGAAGGTGATAAATAAGTGAGAAATCTGAAGCTTCAAATGACCTTTTCAAAATTTGAGGATTTGAGAGTGCTCGAGTCTAAGACTTTCTCGGTCTTCTATGAGAAAGTTGAAATGTTAACAAATGAAGCCTTGGGGTTAGGGAAGCCTATTGATGAAACAACCATTGTTCAAAAGATTTTAAGATGCTTGCCCAAGAGATTTCGAGCAAAAAAGGCTGCCATTCAAAAGTTTCAGGACCTAAATGAGATTAAGCTTGGAAAATTGATTGGGAAACTCATTACCTATGAGATGGAGTTGACATGGATGAAAATGACTCCAAGAAGGGAAAATAAGTGGCCCTTCATGGTGTTCAGAACTATGAGGCTGTTGGTGATGTGTATAGACATGCCTCTAAAGATGATCTTGCTATATTCGTAAAACAATTCAGAAGAATTATCAAAAACAAAGGGAAGGATTCTAAATGGTTTAGAAAGCCATCAAGCAGTTGGGAAGAACAATCCACTGGATTGAAGAATAAAGGGTTCACTAGAAAATGAGACAAAGGTTTATTAAAGGTACTTGGTCCCTGCTTTGCATGTGGTGGAAGTGGGCACCATGCGTCTGATTATGCTAACACCAAACTCCTTGGTCAAAAGCGAGAAAGGGCAATGATGGTTGCTTAGAGTGATGACTATGAACAAGGTTCTGTGCAATCTGATGAGTCGTCAGATGATGAAGAAAAGGTGGTTGCTTTTGTTGCCCTAATTGAGGAAGTGTTTCTAAGTGATGATGATTCTGTTCTGAATGGCAATGAGGAGATGACTTATGATGAATTGTGCATTAAGTGTGATACACTCTTTGATGAGACTTGCTTTACAAAAGTGGAGAAGATTGAACTAGCTAAGAAAGTTATTGAGTTACAAAAGGAAAACAAGTCTGTTCGTCTAGTCAAAATTGAACTGGATGAAAATATTGCTTATCTTAAGGCTCATGTTGAGGAGCTGAATGAGAAAGCTCGTAATTGCAATGACAAAGTTGAAGATAAAGTTGTCATCTCTAGTCTTGAAGCTTAGGTCTAGAACTTGCTAAAATCTCAAGAAAACTTGAAGAATCAAATTCATGTGTTGAAGGTAAACAATGTGATGTATCATGACGCTAACATAAAACAGCTACTTGAGCTGAATGAGGCAAATGATAAAGTTATTCGCCTTACTATTGGAGCTGAAAATTTTGACAAGATACTTAGTTTTGGAAAACAACATAGTGACAAAAGTGGTCTTGGTTTTGTAGAAAGTGGCTCAAATTCTATTCCCACGAAAACCAAATTTGTGAGAGAATCTAGGCCTGTATCTCAGAATGTCAAACCATGTCCAAAGACAAGATATCTTCCTATGTGTCATCATTGTGGTGAATTTGGGCACATTTGTCCAAACTGTAGAAAATTGTACTTTAGAAAGACCAACTTGCTGAAGGATCAGATAGACTGTCTGGTCATCAAAGTCAACAAAATTTTTTAGCTTGCTCATTCTTCTTTATCTGGAAATATTAAGCAAAGTTCGAAGTGGGTTCAGAAGGACTCAAATAGGTGCCTTGTAGTTTCCAAATGTATGGTATGTTGATAGTGGATGCTTTCGTTACATGACTAGAGACAAACAGGCTTTCTCATCTCTTACTTCTTTTATTGTCGGTGGTGTTGTGTTTGGTGGTGGAGACAAGTCTCAGATCACAGGGAAAGGTGATGTCAAGATCCCTGGATTACCTAAGCTTGAAAATGTTAACTATGTTGATGGGTTGAAGTCAAATCTTATTAGCATTAGCCAGTTGTGTGATGATGTGGCTGATGAAGTGTGTTTCTCAAAAAGAGGGTGCCATATTGTAGATGAACATGGAAAGAACTT